GGGTCACACTTACGAAGAATTACTAAGAGTTAGTATATTCTTGACCAAAATAGCGATAACTAAAACACTATAGGAACAAGAGTTATTCTGGAATTAGTGTTTAAGTTAAGAATGTCTTGGTTTAGTGAATGAGTGATTGACTGCCCCTCGGTAGCAGTTGCTCTAACTCACTAAAGTATCGTTACAAATTAATAATGATTTGGGTACATTATTACATTTGCTAAAACTGATTGGATTAAACAGGATTAAATCAAATCACTAATAGAATTTTCTTTATATCACAAGCATGACAAACTCAATAGTACAATTACTCGCTTCTGAGAAATTAAACGGCGACAACTACACAACTTGGAAATCAAACCTAAACACAATACTCGTCATTGATGATTTAAAGTTTGTTTTAACTGAGGAGTGTCTTCAAAACCCCAACTCAAATGCAAACCGAACAGTTCGGGATGCATATGACAGATGGATAAAGGCAAATGACAAAGCCCGAGTGTACATTCTAGCCAGCATATCTGATATTTTGGCTAAAAAACACGATGTTCTGGGTACTCCTAAAGAGATTATGGAATCTCTAAAAGGGATGTTTGGACAACCGTCCTTCTCCCTTAGACATGAAGCCATAAAATACATTTACAACTGCCGTATGAAAGAAGGGACCTCAGTTAGAGAACATGTCCTGGACATGATGGTCCATTTCAATGTGGCAGAAGAAAATGAAGTTGTCATTGATGAGAAGAGTCAAGTTAGTTTTATCATGATGTCTCTTCCGAAGAGCTTCTTCCAGTTCCGCACCAATGTGGTAATGAACAAAATAGAATATAACTTGACTGCTCTTCTCAATGAGCTACAGACTTATCAGTCCCTTTTAACGAACAAGGGACAAACAGGAGAAGCAAATGTTGCTATCTCCAAGAAATTACTACGAGGATCGTCCTCCAAAAATAAGTCTAGACCTTCCACTTCTAAAAGTGTTTTGATGAAGAAGAAGGGAAAAGGGAAAAATAAGATTCCTATTAACCGCAAGAACAAGGTTCAAAAAGCAGATAAAGGAAAATGTTTTCATTGCAACGAAAACGGGCACTGGAAGAGAAACTGCCAAAAATACCTTGCAGAGAAGAAAGCCGAAAAGACACAACAAGGTAAATATGATTTACTCGTTGTAGAAATATGTTTAGTAGAGTATGACAACTCAACTTGGATACTAGATTCAGGGGCGACTAATCATATTTGTTCTTTTTACCAGGAAACTAGCTCCTGGAGAATGTTTGCGGACGGCGAGATAACACTCAGGGTTGGAACAGAAGAGGTTGTCTCAACAAGATCAGTAAGAAATTTATATTAGATAATGTACTTTTTATTCCTGGAATGAAAAAAAATCTAATATCCATCTCTTGTTTGTTAGAACAGTTGTATAAAGTATCTTTTGAAATCATGAAGTGTTCATTTGCAAAAGAGGTATTCATATTTGTTCTGCAAAACTAGAAAACAACTTATATATGTTAAAACCGAGCAAAACAAAAGCTATTTTAAATACTGAGATGTTTAAAACAGCTGAAACTCAAAATAAACGACAAAAGATTTCTCCTAATACCTATCTTTGGCACTTAAGACTAGGCCACATTAATCTCAATAGGATTGAGAGATTGGTTAAAAGAGGACTTCTAAATAAGTTAGAAGACAATTCTTTACCTCCATGTGAGTCTTGTCTTAAGGGTAAAATGACTAAACGATCATTTTCCGAAAAAGGTTATAGAGCCAAAGAAACCTTAGAACTCGTGCATACAGATCTCTGTGGTCGAATGAATGTCAAAGCACGAGGAGGGTATGAATATTTCATCAGTTTTATTGATGATTATTCAAGGTATGGCTATCTTTACCTAATGCATCACAAGTCCGAAGCTCTTGAAAAATTCAGAGAGTATAAGACTGAGGTTGAGAATCTATTAAGTAAAACTATTTAAACACTTCGATCAGATCGAGGAGGAGAGTACATGGACTTAAGATTTCAGGACTATATGATAGAACATGGAATAAGGTCTCAACTCTCAGCCCCTGGTATGCCTCAACAAAATGGTGTATCAGAAAGGAGAAATAGAACTCTATTAGACATGGTTCGGTCTATGATGAGTTTCGCTCAATTACCCGATCCGTTTTGGGGATATGCAGTGGAGACTGCTACATACATTTTGAACATGGTTCCTACTAAGAGTGTTTCAGAAACACCTTATGAGTTATGGAAAGGGCGTAAAGGTAGTTTACGTCACTTCAGAATTTGGGGATGTCCAGCACATGTGTTGTTGCAAAATCCCAAGAAATTAGAACGTCGTTCAAAATTATGTCTATTCGTAGGATACCCCAAAGAGACGAAAGGTGGTTTGTTTTATGATCCTCAAGAAAATAGAGTGTTTGTATCAACGAACGCTACATTCTTCGAGCAAGACCACGTAAGAAATCATCAACCTCGTAGCAAACTAGTATTAAGTGAGATTTCTAAAGAAGCTACTGATAAAACAACAAGAGTTGTTGATCAAGCTGGTCCTTCAACCAGAGTTGTTGATGAAGCTGACACTTCTGGTCAATCACATCCTTCTCAAGAGTTGAGAATGCCTCGACGTAGTGGGAGGGTTATAACTCAACCCGATCGTTACTTGGGTTTGGCAGAAACTCAAGTCATCATACCTGATGATGGCGTTGAGGAACCATTGACCTATAAACAGGCAATGAATGATGAGGATAGAGATCAGTGGATTAAAGCCATGAATCTTGAAATGGAGTCAAAGTACTTCAATTCAGTCTGAGAACTTGTAGATCAACCAGATGAGGGAAAACCTATTGGTTGCAAATGGATCTATAAGAGGAAACGAGACCAAACCGGTAAGGTACAGACCTTTAAAGCACGACTAGTAGCAAAGGGTTATACCCAAAGAGAGGGGCTAGACTATGAAGAAACATTCTCTCCTGTTGCTATGCTTAAATTAATTAGAATACTCTTGTCTATTGCCACATTTTATGATTATGAAATTTGGCAAATGGATGTTAAGACAGCTTTTCTAAACGGCAATCTTGAAGAGAGTATCTATATGGCTCAACCAGAGGGGTTCATTGAACAGGATCACGAGCAAAGGGTTTGCAAGCTTAAAAGATCCATTTATGGGTTGAAGCAAGCATCTCGATCCTGGAATATAAAGTTTGATACTGCGATCAAATCTTATGGCTTTAAACAGAATGTTGACGAACCTTGTGTTTATAAAAGGATAGTCAACTCTACAGTAGCTTTCCTGGTGTTGTACGTTGACGATATCCTACTCATTGGAAATGATATGGGAATTCTGACTGACATTAAGCATTGGCTGGCGAAACAATTCCAAATGAAAGATTTGGGAGAGGCTCAGTTTGTTCTTGGAATCCAAATTGTTCGGAATCGCAAGAAAAAAACACTAGCATTGTCTCAAGCATCGTACATCGACAAAATGTTGATTCGATATAAGATGCAGGACTCCAAGAAAGGATTATTACCTTTCAGGCATGAAGTTCATTTGTCGAAGGAACAAAGTCCTAAGACACCTCAAGAAGTGGAGGATATGAAACACATTCCCTATGCATCAGCGGTCGGTAGTCTGATGTATGCCATGCTATGTACCCGACCCAACATATTCTATGCTGTGGGAATTGTCAGCAGATATCAGTCCAATCCGGGACGTGCTCATTGGACTGTCGTTAAGAATATCCTCAAGTATCTTAGGAGAACGAGGGACTATATGCTAATGTACGGTGCTAAGGATCTGATCCTTACAGGGTACACTGACTCAGATTTTCAGACCGATGTAGATTCGAGGAAATCGACATCAGGATCTGTCTTCACTCTGAACGGAGGAGCAATAATATGGAGAAGCATAAAGCAAGGTTGCATTGCCGATTCCACCATGGAGGCTGAGTATGTTGCTGCTTGTGAAGCAGCGAAAGAATCTGTATGGCTTAGGAAGTTCTTAACTGATTTGGAAGTCGTTCCAAATATGCATCTTCCCGTCGCTCTTTATTGTGATAACAGTGGAGCAGTTGCAAATTCAAAAGAACCAAGAAGCCATAAACGAGGAAAACATATTGAGCGCAAATATCATCTCATAAGGGAGATTGTGCAACGAGGAGATGTGATCGTCACACAGATAGCTTCAGAGCACAACATTGCTGATCCATTTACAAAGCCCCTCACGGCTAAAGTGTTTGAAGGGCACCTAGTGAGTCTAGGACTACGAGTTATGTAATCTAGGGCAAGTGGGAGAAAAGGCATGAGTATGTGATGCCCTAGTTTATTGTATTTCTCTCTACTCAACGTTATAAAACCCCACTAGAGTTTTAGTCCAAGTGGGAGTTTGTTGGGTTTTATGTCCTACAACTCATAGTTTGTAAACAAAGATATATTCTATTTTCAATAAAATTATTATTGATGTTTATTCAGTAAAAATTGTTATTGAATAAAGTGAACTTTACGATCATTAATCTAAATTCAATAAACTAAGAACACTCTGGCTATAGTATGATTATTTGAACTATATGTAGAGACATAAGAGGGGATCAAGTTCAAGTATATAGTCAAAATGATCTATAGTATAAGGATAAGGCTGAGTACCTGTAACAACTAAAATAATGATAATATGTATTTTGTATTTATTTGTTGTGTTTGATGATGATGATGATAATAATAATAATTATTATAAATAAATAAATAAATAATAAATAAATTTAAAAAATTTAAAAAAAAAAATCGAAGCAGCTGCATCAAGCAGCTGCTGTAAAGGGGGATGAGGGGCGGCGGACGCGTAGGCTGGAGGCGTGGGATTGATGAGTGAATTATTAGAGGATGTGGAAGCGTATTAGGGCCTTGATTAGGTTTTAAAAAGGGAAGAAAAACGAAGAATAGTGAATAGCGAAAAACCCAGAAAACAGAGGAGGAAATTTTTTAGAATTGGAGTTTTGGTTGCTTAAAATTAGACATCAATCGAGGGTAAAGGAAGAGGGGTTGTTGCTGAGGAATCCTTTGAGGAAGGGGATACGGCCACGAGCTGAATCGGATGGTGATTCGAAGGTAACGAAAAAACCCATATCACCAAACCTTTAAATCTCGATATCTTGGTTCATATTGTATAATGAGTTATGAAATAGGGCTTGTTAGAATCGTAATTAGGAGATCTATAAATTTGTAGAAGGAATCAGGATGAAATTTGAATCATAGAAGGAGGATATGGCTTCGGGATATAGTAGGTATTAACAGAAAAGATGGGAAAATTTCAGAAAACGCAAGGAAGAAGAAGAAGCGCGTGCACTACACGCAGGCGCGTGAGGGCCGCGACTGGTTGTGCGACTGGGCGTGCTCCTGGCGCGTGGGACAGACACACCGAGGATGAGAGGGCGCGTGAGGGCGCGTGAAGCATCATTTTGGGTTCCCGGTTTGTCCCGTTCGATTTGTTTTGACCTGTTCTACCTAGATTGACCTATACTTACCTTGAAAATGGTGAAATATAGGTCTAATTGGAAGGAATTGTGTTGAAATACCCTATTAAATGTACAATCAAGAGAGAAAGGGATTCGAAACCAGGTAAGTAGCGTATCGACCTTTGAACTAGTTCTTAACTTGTTTTACAACATGTGAGTATGTTGTTTACCTGATTAAGAGCTTAATATGTTATGATGAGCTTTGATGATATTGAGTGTTTATTGTATATTGTGACTGCTTGCCTGTGATGTAAGCATGATATAAATGATTGTCAGAATGTTCTATGTGTTGAACATGATACATGTATGAAAACATGCAGTAACTGTGAGTATGTTATGCATGTTAATAGAAAGGTTATGACTCTAAGATATGCTTATTGGTTGTTGAGCTATGGCTTATTTATATGGGTATGATAGTCTACTAATTCCTGCGGAGTTCCTGGCCAACGCGCTGTGTGCTAAGTCAGGGAGCATGAGTACTCCTGACCGTTGGTATATGAGATAAACAGGCCGCCAGAGCAATTAGTAGACGGACCGTATTTGACCGAGAGCGAGTCTTACATACGAGTCCAAAAATTCTAGATAAGCATATCGAGAGAGAGTCAATAACCTAGCTGGAGGTAGCTGAGATACCTCATTTACGAACAGATGACCCTAGTAAGAGAACTAGAAGTCAATGATGAATAAATTTTAAAAAAACACCTGGAAAGATTAGTTATGAATTCATGAAAGATAAAGTTGGCTACTTACTGGGTAATTTAATTACTCATCAAAATTATTTTTAACTTTTCTTTCCAGATTTAGTTGATGCAGGCCAACCGAGGACGAGGACGAGACCAGCGGGCTAGAGACTATTTGGGAATCCATGTCTGTGTCTGTTTTGTGTACTTATGCTTTCGCTGTCAAGAATCTACTTCAGTTATTTTAAGTTTAAATAGCACTGGTTTTAAATGTTTTACTTGATGTTTTTGGAAATATTTTTTTTTAAATTTATCATTGGTTGTCGGAGTTTATTATCGAGGTCAGTGGTAACTCCTGTGAATCGCGTTGACGATGAGCGGGTGTTACAGTACCTTATTCTGGGGATACTATGGATGCGGCCCACTTTTGTATATGATATAAACAATGTGATCACTAAATTGTACATGTGGAGACATGTGAGTGGGGGCGTCCTATGCAATGAGTATTGCATAAGATCGGACCATGAAGAAAACCACTCTCACTTTATAATGTCGTTTACTGTTGAGACTGATTTTCTTTTCATTCGATAACCTAGGTAACTCGGTTTTAATCCTGAGCTAACCATGAACTCCTGTTTATTCGGAATTATCCTTAGATTTGCATGGGTGAGAGTGGCTCTAATTCGCCGACTCAACAGGCCTCCCATTTCAGGAGTAAGACTGGGTGAATGGCTGGGGACATGGGGTGCAAGACGGAATTCACTCCTACCCACTTTTAGAGATAGAAGAAAGGTAGTTCCCTTAAGCACTGACTCCAAGTCTTGAACAAGGGGCCCCACCCTCTCATTGGCCTGAGAGGGATTCGGTTTACTGGTTGGACCACAAACCAATTGTTCATTAGAGGATCAGTGAGACATAAGGAACAAGAAGTAACTTCAGGGGTAAAATGGTAAATTGACCCAGCTCTAGTTACGAACAACCTGTGAAGGATCGACTTACTAATCATGATTATATCAGATGGATAGAATTATATCTAAAGTGAGGGGAGTGCAACTACTAGGCTATAGTGGAGTGTCCTAGTAGTTAACGAATGTTAGTTAACCAGGTTAATGAGTTTAACCGGTTAATCTTGGATCGTTGGAGCCCATGATCTATAGGTCCATTAGGTCCCTCTGCTAGCTCATATCGGACTAAACCATAGAATAGTGTGACGAGTGAGTTCGAAGTGTTCGAATTCAAATTAGGGAATATGCGTTACATATATACGATATATTTAACCGCAATTTTGATTTATTTACGAATTAAACAAAAAGAGAGAATCTGAGATATTTAAATAAGATTTAAATATCTTAATCAATTATGTGTCGGAATTGATTAGGATTGACATTTGAATTAATATTAAATATTAATTAAATAGTTTAATTAATCATTTAATGTTACTTTAATTTGAAATTCATTATTTAAATTAATTGTTGAATTAAAATGAAGAAAGTCAAAATGTTGACTTTCATCTAATGGAAAAATCCATGTTAGTGGAATTTTGAGGTGTCAAAATTTGGTTTAACCAAACTTGCATGTTTGCCAAATAAAGCTCACAAGTTTGAGTGGAATTTTGAGTGTCAAAATTTGGTTAACTCAAACATGCATGCTTGCCACATAATCCCAAACATTTGAGTGGAATTTTAAGTGTCAAAATTTGGTGATTTCAAATTTGCATGAACATGCAAACATGACTCTTTAAATAGAGTGATCATGATACATGGACTTCTTCATCTTGGTGAAAAACCTTGAGAAAAACCTCTCACAAACACTCTCTTCACATATACAAAATCCCTCCCAAGCTTAGTCACTCACCGGATTCCACAATCTCGTTCTAAGGCCGGAGGATAGTGGAGAAGACACTAGTGGTGGTTCGAAACCGGTTCGTGAGGCAAAAGGAGTTTGAACTACAAAAGGTTAGTATTTAAACTCATTAAGTTTTAATACTTATGAACATGCTAGTTATTTACAATAATTGATGTTCTAAAAGTGCCTAAGATCCAAATTGCTTCCGCATGTGTTAGATTAACACCATCACCTTGGACATAGGTTGTCAGGTTCATGACTAATATCGTAAATCTGAGGGGTAATGTCTTGGAGTAACGAACCAAGAACAGAACCAGAACCTAGAAAGTAACCAAGAACGAGACAACAATCAAGGGCTGACCTCGTACTATCGTTCTAGGTTCTTTTCTTTAGAACAGGATGTTCTAAAGAAAAGAACCTAGGACGAAAATACGAGGCCCTTCGATCAAAACCAAGGTTTACAAAACAAAGGACCAAGGTCTTCAAGATAGATGATGATAAGAACCCATAGGTCAAGAACCAAAAGTCTCAAGTACTTGCAATAAGAACCCGAACAAGTCAAGTGTGATACCTAGTATATAAAGAACATGATTAAGAGCCTACAAGTAGGCTACTTAGTCTTTGTACTCACTACAAATTTTCCATGTTTATTAGGTAAATAAGGAGTTGGTCGAGATCAGAGCGGACTCTAGAGCAGGTGTCATAGGCAAGCTTTACCCGTCGCCCTCCACGCCCTTGTTTTAAATATTTTGTGGAAAGCATCAAATAGGCATATTTCATCAATTCTCATTCTACGGGCATTTTCATAATTTTTCATAACATGCATAGTCATTCATCCATAATTGTCCATTAGAGTGGATGAAGGATGACATGAGTAGATAACATGACGAACAACTACTCTGTGTAAAACCCCCCTTGAGAGGGGATGAGAGACTATCTAACTAGATAACATGAGAAACCACTACTATATGTAGAATATAAACCCACCCTTAGAGAGGACGAGAGACTATATAAGTAAATGACATAATTAGAAGACATGAGGAACTATTATTGTGTAGAATAAACCCTCCTTCAAAGTAAATGACATAATTAGAAGACATGAAGAACTACTATTGTGTGTAGAATAAACCCTCCCTCAGAAGAGAAGAGGAACTACACATGAGGAGCTAATATTGTATGTAGGATAAACTCGTTTTGAGAGGGCCTGAAGAACTACATAAGTAAATAATTCAGGAGATACTATTGTGAGTAGAATAAACCCGCTCTAACAGGAGACGAGCGACTACATAAATAGTTAAGCCATGATAGGTGCCACTAATACATGTGGTAATAGTAGGAGGATTCTTGAAGTAAGCCCAAACATCTTCAAGCTCAAAGAAAGTTTGTGGTAACTAGGTTAAATGGCATGAGAGCCTATAAATAGGTTTGATTATTTTTACTCACTCTTTCCTCTTCTTTTCTTTAGGTGTTCCCAAGTTGTTGTTTGAGGTGGGGAATGTTCGAGAAGCGGTTAAGGTAGGATCATTCCAAAGTGTCAATCATCTTTATATTTGGAGTCTTATGTAATTCGTCTCGTAAATGTATTCCAAAGACCCTTTCTCGTTTGTAATAAATTTGAACATTGTTTTGTAATTAGATTTTATTTTGTACTTAATTGCGGTGTTGATTTTATTTTGTATTTAATTGTGGTGTTATTTTGCTTAAATTTGATTTTAAATTTGTATTTAATTCTATTTAGAGAAAGAAGATGATGACGTGGCTTGTTCAATAAACAAGATCATCCCTCAAAAAAGAAATTATCCTCAATTAGACCAATTCTTACCAATTTCTTTTTGGTTCCTTGAAATAAACTCCTTAAGGGTCCGGCACAAGAAAATTTTGAGAAATTTGGACACCAAAGTATGAGAACCAAAACCCTGAACATCATCTACCATCATCCACCGTAAGTAACTATTTTGGATTTTCTCAAGTTTTACTAATAGAAATCACTTTAAAAAGAACTAGTACATTAAGTTAAGCAAGAGTTAAAAGGAAAGTGGAAAAGTTAGGCCAAGAATCTAAGAGTTAAGTACTAAAACCCAGACGTTTTGCTTGGAAGTCATGATACTTGAAAATAACTCATTTAATGAATTCCTCAAATGGATAACTTATTATGCTATAATAAAGTTTATGTAAAGTTTGGTGGACATAAAACATGTTTAGAGCCTAAACCAAAGATATCACGACCCGATTTTCACGAGGGTAACTTATTAAAAACTTGAAAACATAAAAAGACAAGTAACATTTGAATACATTGGGTCGATAAACAAAACAACTTAAACATTAAAAAAGTTGAATCATGTTTTGATTTTGTATGGCGCATGCTCTAAATTCACTCCTATCCTTGACTAGCTCCTTCTTGTCACCTGAAAAACATGAGAGAATAGGAATGAGTACAAAGATTCATAAAGTAACCTACTTGTAGGCTCTTAATCGTGTCCTTAAGATTTGCTAGAGTACCACCCTCTTTCTTCTAATGTTCTTGTTCTTGACTTGAGAACTTAGGCTCTTAGGTTCAATTCTTGAGTTTGTGTCATGGTCTAGCCCAAAGACCTTGGTCTTGGGTTCTCTCCTTGGTTTTGATCTAAGGGTCTTAGTCTTGAGGTTTTGGGTTCTTAGTTCTAAGAACTCGGATCTTGATCCTTGTTTTAGTTCTTAGTTTTGATTCTTGATTCTTGATCCTAGTTCTTGTCCTTGTTCGTAATTCTTATTTTTGGTTCTATTTTCTAAGACACTCCCCCTAAGATTTACGGTACAAGTCATGAACTTGACAACATGTGTCCAATGCTTCATATGTTCCAAGTGACAATAATCTGAGAACATACATCTAAGGCTTCATGCATTCCAAGTCTGAATCTAAATCCAGAGCTTTATGCATTTCCTACGATACTGTCTGAAACCTACACTCATGGCTCCTCACATTCTAAGCGGTGTAGTCTAAAACTTGCATCCAAGACTTCATATGTTCCAAGCAACACAGTTTGAAATCTGTCTCCAAGACTTCTTACGTTTCAAACTATGTACTCTGAAACCTACATCCAAGGCTTCTTACGTTCCAAGTGATTTAGTTGAGTTATAAACATGTTGTACCGTGGAAAGTTTCTGGGTTCTTGATTCATGGCTAAGATAACATACTCTCGTGTGCTAACCATATACTATCTTAGTTTCATTATTTTCTATATCGTGAACATGGCATGTAGTCAACCTAGTAGCTATCCGCATCATGTCCCATGACTACTCCCATGAAGACCCAAAAGATTATGCGATTGGTGCATAACATGGATGTGACATCCTGTAAGGTAAATGTGGTGCAGGGCATCTCATCTAGTTGCTAGAAAACATGAAATCAAAGTATGACATCCTGCTAAGAAAAACATGATGTAGAACATCCCACCTAAAAGTGGAAAACATGGGCCTTGACAAGCACTAAGTGGTAGGAGGTCATGGTTCATCTTGAGCATGATTAGAGTATTACTTAGCATTCTTTGAGGGTCATGATAACTTTAGGACATCGGGTGTGTAATGTTCTTTTTGTTCATGTTCTTTGGGAAGTAAACCTTGGGATAACATCATGGGCTAACTCTAGGGTAATGCATATCTATAACACGCTATAACTTAATCCCATGCTTAGAATTCATGGTCCTAGAATAAGCATAAATGTATTATTTAGGTAACATATCATCTTCATAACTTAAAAGTCATTTATAATATCTTACTTGTCATAACAAAACATTATGGAATTTTCGTGAATTCTTTTAAAAAGTTCATTAGGGGTATTTTCGTCTCTTATTACTTGAGTCTTGAATCATATCCAAACATGTTCTTATCATTGTAATATCATGCATGATTCCCTTATAACATTTCATGTCATGTTCTTGAGTCTTGGTGACCTTAGGGCTTACGTTATTTTCCTGGTACTTATTTTTGGAGTATTTTTTTTAGTCTCATAGTTTATTTTATTGAATTGTTGCTCTAAAGGTTATGCTCTAAAGGTTATTCCTAGAGCTCAACCATGCATATGATAAGTAATCTAATCTCAGAGGTCATGTGAATTGTCATATTAGTTTGCTCAAGGTTTTATAGGATCATATTATGCTTCTGGAAGTACTTTTAACTCTGAACATATACCATAAAACATGTTTTAATGCTCTTAAACCTTAAAGGTCATACTTAAGTCTTTTACAGAAGTTCATAACATTTGGAGTTTCTTAAGACCTTGAAAACATTTTAAAGTCCTTACCAGACGTTTGGTTATTTACCTCTCAATTTATTGGTTTAAGCTGTTAACACGTTTCAAACTCCTTCAATTCTTGGGTAAAACTTTCATGGATATATAGACCTTACTTAAATTATTAAGTCATTTGAAGGTTGTTTCGACCTTAAAAGGGCCTACGATTGTCCTGAGTACTTAAATTCTCAAGTCATTTGGAGGTGGTTTTGAACCTGAGAGAGCATAAGGCTATCCTAAGGACATTTATCTAAACGTACTAACCTTCCTGAAAGAATAATGCTGGTTTTAACTTAATTCATCAATCAATTTTGTGGTGTAAATAAAATTGAGAAGCAAACTAAAAGGAGCAGGAAACTGAAATACTCAAATATTGCAATAGTTATGCAACAGCAGCCCACTGCTGAGCCACTAACCCATTCATTCTGTCAGGCCAGCCCAAATCATTTGGTGCCATCTCCGACCCACTTATCTCCCCAAACCTCTTCATCACAATGCCTCCTATCAAAGCCTTTTCAGTTTCCATTATCTCTTCCCAAACTATGTAACTAAATAAGATATTAGTTTTCATATGAATTTTAGGAAAATTATATTTTTCATCTTCATTCTTCATTTAACAATTTAATTTAAATTTAGGGTACTTTTTCAAAGTATTTTATTTTTTTAAAAAAATTAGTATAAAGTTTAGTTGTATTTAAAAAGTAATTCTACTCACTACAAATATTTTTTATATTACATGTTTTTAAAATTTCGATTAATAACTTCAAATTCATTTTTTATAATTAATTTTTAAGTGTTTCTTCCAAAATAGTTTTTAAATTAATCTAATTTTACTACATTTTATTTTTTTAGATTTTTTTTTTTGGGTAGAAAATGTATTTGATCATTTAAAAAGTTACACTAAACTCACTTTAACTTGTTTTATTTGAAAAGTTTTTTTTTTTTTTTTAATTATTTCACACGCTATTAACATTNTTTTTTTTTTTTTTTTTTTTTTTTTTTTTTTTTTTTTTTTTTTTTTTTTTTTTTTTTTTGTAATTTGACTTCTTTTTCATACAAAAAAAATATAAAAAATAAAAAATAATAATGTGTCATATGATATTTTGATGTGTTTTTTTGGGATTACAAGCGATTTTAGTCTTTAAAAGATATTAATAATTATAATAAAATTAAAATAAATAAATCTTAGATACCACCTGACCTAGAAAAAGTTCCTAATTCCATTTTGGGTAATACTTTTCTTTATTCAATTTTAAAATGTCTATATTCTAGCCAATAAACGGGATAGAGAGGCTTTTGTTTTATTATTATTATTATTATTATTATTATTATTATTATTATTATTATTATTATTATTATTATTATTATTATTATTATTATTATTATTAAGAGAGTTAGCCATATTTATTTTATTATGATTATTATTATTATTTATGCATTTGGTGTTCAAAAGCCCCACATACATGTAGCCTTTTATATATATATTGTTTAGGGTTTTAGTGGAGCATTCAGTCATGGATGTAGCATCAATTGAGTCTAGTCCCTTAACACTTTTGAAATATTTCCCAAAGTACAAAAGAATAATAGTAAAATAAAAGGGTATTTGTGTAAATATCCCAATAAACAAAATTCTACGATCATTTCCAACCTAAAATTGTCGAGTCAAGCTCACATGTCATAGTAAAAGATAGTTACCAAAAAAAGATATATTTTGTTGTTATAGGCATATCTTTAACCTCAATGACTTTTTTTAAATTAACTGTATATCAATACATATTCAAAACACCTACATTGCGTTGAATTAAAATTTTGAATATTTATCTAAATTATAAGTTTGAATAGGTAGAAACAGATCTTTGATACATTTAAAAATAGAGACAGCTGTTGCTACCTAAATTATTGAATTAAAATATGAGTCGAGAATATTGTAATAAATAGGATGATAATGATACAATAAATGTAAACCAATAAAAAAGAAGAAGAAGAAGAAGAATTATTAATATTAGTAATAGTATTTTATTTTGTGAAGGGTAAAGAAAGAAAATGGTTGAGAGTGGCTTTGGAGAGCATGAAAGGTCAGAATTAGGAGGGAGAGGAGGGGAGGGGGAAGGGCCAAAATGAATGATTAGTTGTTGGTGGGTGTGCACGGCCGTACTGGATCACAGCCCAAGATTCCTCTATCCTTGTTCGAATCTTCGGTATATTCTCTGGGAAAAAAAGGTCTATACATATTTTCTTTTATATATATATATATATATTTAATTAAAAAAGAGGGCATTGAAGCAGATGGCAGTCATGCTTTTGGGTGGGAAGGCGCTACGTCACCGACACCACATAGATGGGTGACCCAAACGGAATCCAATCGAATATTCACTTTTATTTTTTTTTCCTAATTCTCTTTTACTTTTAAAAATTTTCAATAACCAAATTAAAAAGGTTTAAAAATAGTTTTTGGCTTTCAAAAAAACCTCTCGTAAATTTAAATTTTAAAAAAATTCAAAAATATATTTTTCATTAATATCATATTTCAAAAATAATGATAAACTTTTAACAGTAAAGTAACATTAAAAAAGTTTGGAGATAACTTGTGAAATGTAGATAGATAGTTGTCATCCATATATTAATATTATAATTCTTTTTCAATTTTTTTTTATAAAAGTTAAGAGGCTACTTTTAAAATGTTATTAGTATTTTTTAAATATGGTATCAAAGATGTATTTTTTAATTTTTTTGTTTAAGTCGGAGGCTATTAATGAATTTTTTTTAAAGCTTAAAGTTGAAACGGTATAAAATAAAAATAAAAATTACATCATTAAAATATTTAAGGTGGATGGATAATTATATTTTACCTAATATTTTAATATTAGTTTTAGAATATTTATGTAATGTTAAAAGATTAGTATTGAAAAATTGGAAAGTATGAAGTAGATATGTATAGAGTTAAAAAAATTGGCGTTGGCTTATTCAAAACGGCGATGGAATAATAGAGAGATTCGTTCCACTACGCGACGCCCCGACCTCGATATTTTACTCTCTCATCCCCCCCTTCTCTGATCACCCTCCCATAAATTCTCCCCTCGGTCCACACCATTCTCTCTCAACCCCTCCTCTCTCTCTCTCTCTCCCTCTCTCTCTCTCTCTCCTCTGTTTTTCTTCCTTTTGTTTGTTAGTTCAATGATCCTACAGCTTCCTCACCCAGTTTATTCCTTCCAATGATTCCATCCTAGATCCCATTTTCCTTCTTTAATCCACCCTCCTTCTTCCCATTTCTCTCCCTCCCTCTCTCTCTCTTCATTTCAATTTCAGACCCATTTTCACCACAAACTCGGTTCTGCGTATCATGATTTTCTCCCACAAAATGCAAGAAATTGCATTCAAAATGGGCTTCACTCTCTCCGATTTCGCCCACACTTTAGAACAAGAGCGCCGTAAAGTCCTCATGTTCCAGCGCGAGCTCCCTCTCTGTCTGGAGATTGTTACTCGCGGTACGACCCGACCCGACTCCATTAACTCCCCTGTCTTGTTCTTGGTTTTTCTGATTTCTGTTTTGGGTTTTGCCAGCCATTGATTGTTGCAGGCATCACGTGTCGGAGACCACGACGGAGAATCGTCTATCGGAGTGTTCGGAGCAGACTTCCAGTGACGTGGGTCCGGTTCTTGAGGAGTTTATTCCGATTAATAGATATGGAGTTTCTGATTCTGAACAACAACAACAACGACAACTGCCCTGTGAAACTCAGACGGAGAACACTGATGACTCTGATCGAAATAATTTGAATTTGTGTCCGTCGGATTGGCTCAGATCTGCCCAGCTTTGGAAGGATCCTTCTGCCTTGAATCAGGTAAATATTTTCCTCTGTTCTACGGATTTCTAAATTAGCCTCGTCGGAAGTTAAGAGGTTATTGGGTTTCGGTGCAGGACCTGCCGGAGAAGACGGCTGTTGTTGAGGTCAAGAGTAATGGCGGAGCTTTCCGACCATTTCAGAAGGAGAAAACCGGTGGTGGAGGAACATCATCGACTTCGGCTCCGGCTGCGACGAGCTCCACTGCGGAAATGGGGTCCGGTGGAAGTAATCGACGGGAAGTAAAAGAAGCGCAGAATCAGAGGAAACAAAGACGGTGCTGGTCACCGGAGCTACACCGGCGATTCCTTCATGCTCTTCAACAGCTCGGAGGTTCCCATGGTAGGGAAGAACAAGAAAATGGACTTTTTTGTTTATTTTTTTTGGTTCTTTTGAGAAATTTAATTTTTAATTTTTGATTATTGTGAACGGAAATGCAGTGGCGACGCCGAAGCAAATCAGAGAGTTGATGAAGGTGGATGGTCTTACCAACGACGAAGTGAAAAGTCATTTACAGGTTTGGAAATCTAGAATTTTCTTTTTCTCCCAATTTTTTTTTTTAATTTTTAAATTCTATAATTTCTTTTCCTAAAAATAAAAAATAAAAAATAAAAAGATTTAATTTTATTTATTTGGTGGGTTTGGTTATTGGCTATTTGTACTTTTAAATTTAGGTTAAGATAAGATATCATGAAAGTTTTGTCAGTACTCCCACTTTTATGACCAATTTGTCCTTCATGCAATTATCTCATTCCAATATTTTCATAAATATAACAATTTAATAACTTATGAATTAAGTAAAATTTTAAGAAAAAATTTGTAAAATTGGTTGAGGTTAATTATGGAATGAAAAAATTGTTCAGAAATATCGTCTACACACGAGACGCCCAAGTACAACAATGCACCACGACGACACCGCCCAGACGCCGCAGTTCCTGGTTGTGGGCGGTATATGGGTACCGGCTGCGGAGTACGCCACCACATCCACCGGAGAAGCAGTGAGAGCAGCCACCACGAACGGAATTTACGCACCGGTGGTTAGGACGGCGAGTACAGTGGGGAAGGCGAAGGCGAAGGTTATAGTATCTGGGGGTGCGGCGGAGTGTAATTCTGCTACTACATCGTCCTCCACACATACGTCATCAGTTTCACCTGCTTGATGAGGGTGTAATTGGAGTTTGGGAATTTTGTGTTTCTTTTTTGATTGTGTGAATGGTGTGTGAAAGTTTTGATACAAAGCCTCCTCCATAGATAAATAAGAAAATGGTGACATTAATTCAATTTTGTGTTGGTTTTTTTCTTCATCTTTCCCAAAATAATGATACTAATAATGAACAAACACGATAAGGCAACAGAATTCATACCTGCTAAGCAACAAATAGCCATTTCATTGGCCACACTCTTGACAATCTTCATAATTGACCTATCTCACAACGTTTACTTTTGCTAAATGGCTCTATGGTCAAAAACATTAAAACTATCAATGATAAATTCATATAAAGTTTCTATCAAAATATTCATAAAATTGTTCACATACAACGTCATATGCCATGTACTCTCAATTACCCTTGGAGAAAAAGAAAAGTGATCTGACATTCAAGTAAACGACCAGCACATGAATAAATTGTGATTACATCTGATTCACAGTGATTCTAGAGATAGGATGCTAAGAAAAATTTGGAACAATCCAAAGTTACCATCTATAACGATAAGGAGTTTTTTTTTTTTTTTTTTTTTTTTTTTTTTTTTTTTTTTTTTTTTTTTTTTTTTTTTTTTTTTTTT